CCAGCTCTGTGCAGCTCCCTGGAGCCCTTGCACCGCCAGGCCAAGAAGGAGGAGTGAAAATCAGCTTTGCACAGCACTCAGGTTTCTCCATGTGTCTGTCTCAGCAGGTCAGGGCTGAAATTCTCAGCTACGTTCATCTCCTAACCCAGCTGGACAGGCTGACATTTCGGCTCTCCTGCACAATCTTACCAGCAGCATGGGCCGAAAAGTCCCGGTCCTAAGCTAGTTCCTTGTGCCTCTGCACCCAACAGGACAGAGCAGGCCTAGGAGCTCAACAGGTTGGGGAAGGGGTGCCAACTCTGTGCGTGAGGTGGGAGAGACCATTCCTCACCACCAGCCCACAGAGTTTAATCACGGACAGGGTCTTTCCTTAAAGCTTTTCCAGAGAACAGAGGGCCCCTCAGAGTCACTGCTGGGTGTGAAACCCAAGTATGGCCGAGTCCAGAGCAAACTCCAGGCTGGTGCTGCAGCAATGGGAGCGCTCCTTCCCTAGGATGGTCGGTCAGAGTCTCCCAGGTGGACAGGATCCTCACTGATTCCCCCCAACTGCAGTACATGGGCTCCACTCCTGTCTCTGTTGCTCTGGGTTGGGGATCCCTGCATGGGGATGAGACCCCACATTCCTAGGGGGAGGGAGTTTTGCAGCTGTGCTGTCCCTGAGGCTTCTCAGCTGTCCCCGCATGAGGGGGATCTCCCTTTCCGCTTCTCCAGCCCTCTTACCAGTCTCTACCTGGCTTTTCCTGTGCTCCTTGGTTCTACTATTTCAGCTCAGCTGTAGTTTAGTTTGTTTTTCAAGTGGATTGCTCTGTAATTTAGCTGTAAATCCGGTCTGACTCTGGAAGCAAGCGACACAGCCTCCAGCTACTCTGCAGTTATCCTGGAATCCCAGCTACTCTCATTTGCTTATTTGATAATCCGACGGAAAAGAGGTCAGTGCCCCTGACTCAATAGTCAGGTATTTCATGTTTGAAAGATTCTTGCAGTGCACTGTTTGACAATTGCTGCCCTATAGCAAGCATGTCAAACTCGCAGCCTACATGTTACATACCTGGTTTACTTATTTAAAGAGGCCTGCGCCCATAGGCCATGAGTTTGACATGCTTGCCCTATAGTCTAGCACTGATAAGAAAGGTAACGGGTCTGCTGAGTTGCAGTTTCAGCAATGATGTGGGCAAGCACCTGGGAAACCAAATATCAGGCTGCAGCTTAGCTCTGACAAAAGTGCAGCTACTGAAGTCCATGAGGGGCTGCAGGTATTTCTGAGGCTGCAGCATAGCCTCAGTGCCCAGAAACCTAAGAAACTGGGTGATCTTCCTAGACCTCATCTTTCACACAGGGAGCTTCATGGTCATCTGCATGAAAGCCATTGTCATCATCTTTGAGATCTGACTCTTCTCACCTGTGTTGGTGTAACTGAGGAAGGCAAAGGTTATCATTGTAACAGGAGTGTCTGGGTTGGGTCATAAATAAAATTAGACTCTGTTGTAATGAGGAATTAGACAAGGGAAACTCTATAGTTTGTGTTACAGCGGGATCCCAGGGCATTGAGAGGGAGTACTTAATAGGCTAGGTGGTAACAGTTAATAGAAGCTAAGTTGCAAACAGAGAAAACATATAGAGCTTCTGAAATAAAAGTCACCGTAAATAGGAGTTTGTGTAGCTACCAGGATCAGACTTGTCAGGTAGGCTCTGTGGGAGTGGAGAGCAATGGTTCAGTTCAGTTCAGCCTCCATGCTGATCCAGATCTCTGGGAGGAACACGAACATCCTAGGATGGGGATGTTAATAATGAAAGAGTTTTATCATTTGGGGCACAAGTGGCTCTACTATGGGATCCTCCTTCAAAAATTGCATTATGGGAAACAAGACCCTCTCCTACCAGCTGAGGAAACTGGCATTAGAGCCTCTACAACACACAAGGAGATGCCATAGCAGCAATAACACGCAGGAGCAGTTGGCACCAACAATGGAGTGGCCAAAGGAGAGCACTGCAGGCATTGGGCAGCTGGTGTGTGGAACGAGGCAAAGGCTTGATGCAAGAGGTGAAGTCACATGGATCTAGAAGGGAGCAGAGATGACAGCGACAGCAGTAGGGCAGGCAACTGCCCCATGGCCACTGGGAGTGAGAGTTTCCTGGGGGATGCCCGCAATAGTGTATCAGAGGCTCAGGGGTCCAAACTGCTTCCTAGAGCAATACACAGAGGAAACACCAGCTAAGGAAGTGGAGAGATGAAGGCAAGGATGTAAGGACTCCATCCCATAAAAAGCAAATGAGGGGCTCTCCAAGATCTAGACCAGGAAGCAAAAGAGTGACCCCTGCAGGTGGCAGCTCTCCTTCCACTGTCCTCACAGAATGCTGCAGCCTCTGCAACCCCTCTCGCTCCTCCACCCCTGCCCAGAAATGCCAAGAAGCTCCCAGCTCTTTCCCACTATCTGGGTAGTAATGTTGAGGTGAAGGACAAAAAGAAGTTGGTACAACAAGCCCTGACTGTTGAAATACGCAAATGCATATGCTTTTGCAATAGTTGTAGGTTATTGTGAACTTGCTTCCTCATCTGCTCCTCACTCTGCTTCCCTGGCTTTGGTCTTCTCGGAACTCATATTCGTAGAAATCTGTAAAACCCAGACATTGATGATGCCGCTGAACTCACAGGGCTCAGTGAGGTGCAGATGAGGTCATGCACTGAGGGTGCTCTGTAAACTCTAAGGGACATGTGTGTGGTGTTGGGAAAGTTTCCAGAACCCAGATGGGGTGAGTGTGAGTGAGTCAACAAGGAAGAAAATTGTCCAAAGGAGTTCTTAAAAGACCAACACCGCATAGCTCAGGTTGCAGGGCAGCATAAATAGCCTTTGCCTGTGGGCCAAGGAAGCGCTCATTGCCTGGGCACTGGATGTCGCAATGGTGAGTGTCTGTGCCGGCCTCTCATTTTGTTTTCTCTGTGTCCAGCGAGTGTCCCCCTGCCCACTTTTGGTGCTCTAATGTACTGGTGTTGAGGAAGACAGTGTCTAAGTAGATCTTCCGCTCTGGGAGGTGTGGGTGTGGGTGTGGGTGTGGACGTGAGAGGGCAGCATAGTGGGGGAAGAAGGACCATTCTTCTGCCCCTCACTCTGCTTCCTTTGCTCAGTGGGAGATTAGCCTTCCGGGCTGGGGGAGGGTGGGTGAGTGGGATATGACACCCACCCAGACCCCAGATGCCATTGTCAGGAAGCCTCAGGTGGGAATGCAATTTCAACTTCTCGCTTGGTTCTCTCCATCCTTGATTTCTTCAGAAAGGAAGGTGGTAGAGGAGAAACAGTCCCGGCCTTCTCAGGCCCAGGGTCAAAGTCCGTCCTGGTATAAACTGCCCATTGGACATGGATAAACATGATTTTCTCTTAGCTTCAAATCTTTGTTTTAAAAATACACTTACTGGACGAGTTTACTGATTTCCAATTAATTTTTAGAGGAGTCATTTTTCAATAATACTTTAGTCTGAAATTGAGGCATAAAGGGAACACTATGTTGGTTTAAGGGGATGTGGCTCTGCCCAATACCGCTATAGGCCCAGCGAAGAGGCCTCATCCCAGTCCTAGGTCTCCAACCCTGTGAGGGGGCTCCTGCCCAGGCCCCTTTCCGCTACAATGAGCTGTGGTGCTTTCTGTGCCATCTTGGGCTATTGGGCAGAATGCCTGTGGCTTTTCATTTTTCCCCAGATGTGGGCACAGGGCCCTTGAATTGTGGCAACTGCACACCAGGGGGCAATGCCCTGGCTCTGGCTGGAGCCTTTGGTGCTCATGGCCGAGCCTCTGCCCCAGCAAGTGCCACGCTGCTGGCCTGTGAGCTTGCCTGGTGTTTAGAGACTCCCATGATGCCCGAGGAAGTGGTAAACTCAGAATGAGAAAGAACTGGTGCCAACAGGGTCCTCCGCAGCACAGAACCACCAGTAGGTGGAGAAGAAAGCACTTCTGTGGCCAGGAAGGCCCTCCACTGCCTCCCCTCAGGCTGCCTGGTGATCCCTTCCCCTTTTCTCTGTCCCTCAGGCTTGTTCTCAGCCTCTGCCACTCCCGCATGCACTTTTCTGGCTCCTAACTTTACAGTTTCTCTCAAGAGGAAAGAAGCCCACCATTGGGAGTGACCAGGTCCTGCACCCACCCTGACCTCACTTAGCTGCAGAGTCCCTCTCACATGTAACTGGACACCCTACTGAACATCTGTTTTTTCTCCACCTAAAACCACCCTTTCCCTGATGGAGCTCACCTCACATGTCTTCCTCCAGGAGGCCCCTCTCCCAAGTCGTCCCAGGTGGAGGGACAGGACTCTAGGCTTCCCAGGGTCTCTCCAGCTATTCTGAGAACTTTTTCTGGTTTCCATCTGGAACTTTCTTCATGGAGACAACGTCTAGTGCAGGAATGGCAGACCACCTGGCAAACATGTAGCCATGTGCCCACCTTGTGTTAGGACAGATGTCACTGAGCATTCTGGCTCCTTTACAGACAATCACTGAAACCACCAGTGCTAGTCCATCCAAGGCTACAAGTAACAGGCAATGGGATTGCCCAGCCACCTTGCTGATACAGACAGGGAGACGGAGGTTCAAAGAGAAGGACTGTCCTGCCCAAAGGCACTTCATGAGTCCTTCCTGATGTGACAGGTGGCCTCAGTGAGGAGTTCACATCCTAGCTGTGCTGATGGCAGTGAAAGGGAAGTCACTAGAAGGGAAGAAACGGGGCATCTGAGAAGAGGTAGATGTTGCTGATAACCATGTCAGAGTTCAGCTGGGTAACTCATGCCCTCCCAGGCCAGACTCTATGGCCGCCTTGTCCTAAATTGTTTTTGGAGTCCTGCTGCTCCTGATCCCACAGAAGGGGCGAGGTGGTAGGAAAGTGCCTCTCTGACTTCCGGGAGCTAAGTAATAAGCCGTGTTCTGGAATCAAGAGCATGTCCTTTGCCCTAACTGGTTTGGCTCAGTGGATAGAGCATCAGCTTGTGGACTGAAGGGTCCCAGGTTTGATTCCGGTCAAGGGCATGTACCTTGGTTGCGGGCACATCCCCAGTGGGGGTGTCCAAGAGGCAGCCGGTCGACGTTTCTCTCTCATCGATGTTTCTAACTCTCTATCCCTCTCCCTTCCTCTGTAAAAAATCAATAAAATATATTTTTTTAAAAAATTCTAAAAAAGAAAAAAGCATGTCCTTTCTCTTTCTGTCCACCCCTGAAGGCCCTGCTTCTCCTCTCCGTGCTGTTCCTGCTCATACAGCCTCCAAGGTCATTGGGAGCAGAAGTGAAGAGCCTTTCCAAGAAACCTTTGATTGATGCTTGCACCCTGTTCACATGTAGCCCTGTGGAGGAAGACCCACCTGGTCATGATGGACGAGATGGGAGAGAGGGCCCCTGGAGCGAGAAGGGGAATCCAGGTAGAGCTGGGACCATGGGCTTGTCGTGGTGGGCATGGGTGGGCACTGGAATCATAACCAACTCAGGAACTCTGGATGTTCTGCCGTGGAAGCCCTGGAAATGGAAGCCCACCTCCTTGGGAAGAAGTCCCCTAGACATTCAGTCCACCTAAAGCACCTCGTTACCAGTTGGCAAATGACAGGTTGCCCTGAGCCCCGAGGTGTTATTCCCCTCCCCTAGCTGTCAGGATTCCTCCCCTAGGATCTTCTGATTCCTCTCACCCAAACAATGAGCAAATTGTGGGTAAATGCCCGGTCTTCGGAGCCCCGTGGAACTAAGTTGCGGCACTTATAGTTGGTCATTATGGTTGAATGATTTCTGTGCAGTGTGTGAAATATTTAACTAAATTCTACTGCATTAGAGGTTGGCAAAGATGAGGTTCTGTGGCCCCACACTCAGGCCTGATCAAAAGGATTTACTTAAATACACTACGGAGAGGAGGAAAGGGAGCTCATATTTTATAACTGGACTTTTGTAGCTTTGACCTTCACCCGTTTTTCCCACCACCCAGCTCCCATCTTAGCCAACCACCAATAATCTGATCTCCGCATTTATGAGTTCAGGTTCTTTGTTTTGTTTCTTAGAATCCAGATACAAGTGAGATCATATTGTATCTGTCTTAATTTGTATGACTTATGGCACTTAGCATAATTCCTTCAAGATCCATTCCTGTTGTGGCAAATGGTATGATTTTTTTTGTCGCTAAATAATATTCCAGTGTGTGTGTGTGACATTTTTATCCATTAATTCATTATGGACACTATTAGGTTGTTTCCATCTGTTGGCTACTGTAAAAAATGTTGCAATGAACATGAGAATAGAGATATCTTTTCCAATTAGTGTTTTATTTCCTTTGGATATAACCCAGATGTGGTATTGCTGGATCATACTTTTTTAAAAAATTATTATTATTTTTTAAATATTTTTTATTGATTTTTTACAGAGATGGAGGGAGAGGGATAGTGAGTTAGAAACATCGATGAAAGAGAAACATGGATCAGCTGCCTCCTGCACACCCACTACTGGGGATGTGCCCACAACCAAGGTACATGCCCTTGACCAGAATGGAACCTGGGCCCCTTCAGTCCACAGGCCGAAGCTCTATCCACTGAGCCAAACCGGTTAGGACTAAATTATCTTTTTAATATCTTAAGGAAACTGCATATTGGTCCCCATAGTGGCTGCACCAATTTACAATCCCACCAACAGTGCATAGGGGTTCTTCTTCACATCCTCACCAACACTTGAGATCTTTTGTGTTTTTTATAGTCGCCATTCTAGGAGGGGTGAGATCATATCTCTTGGGTTTGATTTGCATTTCCCTGGTGACTCATGTCAGGGATCATTTCTGATATAAAGTTTGGTCCTAGGAAGGGGAAAGCAAGGAGTCCATGATCCAGGATAAAAGCTGGCAGATCCCCTGCTGTAAATGCTCAGCCTCGGGGCAGGGAGGGTGCACTGCATGGAAATCAGACAGTTCTTGGCATGACCCCCCCCCTCCGGCTCTGGCAGCCCTGTTTCCTCGCCTGTGAAACGGGGATGTGCACACCCGTCTCCTGGGTCACCACTGGACTGAGGAGTGTGGAGGTGGAATGTCTACACCTGCGGAACCTGAAGGAATGCAGGGCTGACCTGCAGGTGCTGCTCCTCCTAGGCCCAGGGCCAGGTTTATGTCCATTTCTTGTGCTGCTCCATGTTCATCAGGAGCAACAGGGCAAATGGGGATGCTGGATGTCCCCCAAAGGGGACAAGAGCTCTGCTGGAGAACATGGATCAAAGGGAGACTCGGGGCCACGTGGTGAGCAGTTGGCGTGGACTGCAATGCCTGCCACAGGGGTGGGCAAACTTTTTGACTCGAGGGCCACAATGGGTTCTTAAACTGGACCGGAGGGCCGGAACAAAAGCATGGATGGAGTGTTTGTGTGAACTAATATAAATTCAAAGTAAACACCATTACATAAAAGGGTACGGTCTTTTTTTTTTAGTTTTATTCATTTCAAAAGGGCCGGATCCTTGCCCACGGCTGCTCTAGAGTGATGCTTTCTTAATGCAAATAACTGATGCACATACCCATCCCAGGAAGGAGGGTGCCCTGCGGGTGGCACTGGGTTCACACAGGGAAGGCTGTAATACTGCTGGGTGGCGTCTGTAGGATGGTGCTGTTCTCTGACCTCTATGAGTGCTCTCACCTTCTCACGCTCTCCACCTTCTAAGAAGACTCCATGCACTGACTGGCTGGTCCTTTTCCCAGGATCCCTGGGACCTGCAGGTGTGCGCGGGCCGGCTGGGAGAGATGGTCCCTCAAGAATGCAGAGGGATGTAGGACCCCAAGGTAAACCAACCCCCAAAAGAGAGCCTGGACCCAAAGGTAGGAGGTTGATGTGTGGAGGTCCTGAAGGGAGAGGGAGGAATGACGTTGGCAACCCATGATGTGACCTAAGGATGCTCAGCGTGCCAGGGAAGCCAGGCCACCTCCACTGGCAGGCCTTACTGTGGCCCCTGTCCCCCCCCCCAAACCTCCACATCTGGAGGAGCCCAGACAGTGTGGTGCACAGCCCCCCAGTTCCCCTTCTCTACGTGGAGTTGAGGAAATCATCCAGCCTGCAGACATTGTCAGCAGCCTATGTCCTAATCTGTACCTTCCTCAGGAGACGTGGGTGCCCCAGGCGTGCAGGGCTCTGCAGGGACAAGAGGCCCCCCCCAGGTCTCAAAGGGGAGAAAGGTGCCCCTGGTGAGAGTGGAGACCCTGGATTTGCAGGGGCAGCTGTGACAGTGGCTGTGGGCTTCCTGGGGTCCAGCTCCTTACCCTCCCCAGGAAAGCCTGTCACTGAGCACCCTTCCCTTGGGACCCGGACTCTGAGCCGATCCCTGGCTGTGAGGGACTGGTCTTCACTGGGCCTCTCTCTCCTGCAGACATCAGTGCTCTGTGGCAGCAGCTAGAAGCCTTGCAGGGGCAGGTAAGACGACTGCAGGGAGCCTTCCTTCAGTATAAGAAAGGTGAGTTCCTGCACCTGGACCTGAACCTGAGCCAGTCGCCAAGGGCAGGACCCAGGCAGGGTCTGTGTTTGGGTTTGGAGTTGGCCGGGTCTGAGGCAGGCCTGGGTCTAGGACTGGGGGCTCTAGGATGCTAGTGGATTTGGACGATGGGCTGGATCTGGGACTGGGGCAGGAACTGGGGATAAGGATAGGGTGGGGCAGAACAGGGCAGCCACATATTCCAGGAACTGGAAGCAGATTCAAGGGACACGTAGCAGGGTGTGGCCCTTAAACCCACTCAGTGGGCTGGCGCCGAATGGTCAATGCTACCAGCTCCATTCCCCACCGTCACAGCCACCTGTGACCCGAGTGTTCATGGTGGAGACTCTCCCCTAACATGGGTGCTGAGGAGTCAGAGGCTCCAGCAGCACAGCCCAGTGCCTGTGCCTGTGGGCATCTCCACCTCAGTCCCTAATTTCCCCCCTCTTCCCCGCTTTCCCCATGTCAGCTTTGAACTCAAATCATTCAGCAAATCTCATTGAGGCAAAGAGGAGTTTCTGAAGGAGGAGAGCACACAGGGGCGAGACATGGAGTTAGCTCCTATGTATCTAAAACCACTAAGGACCCACGTACCAAGGGTGAGGTTTCAAGCATTTGGTATGTCGCCCTCTATCCACAAACATGCATGTGCACTCTCTCCCTCACATGTACACTGATGCAAAGAAAGGAAAATTCATGATATACACCTGCCACATGTGTTTGTATTACACACATGCCATCACTCACCTCACGTCATCTACACCCACGAGCACACACGCATATTCACACACACCAGGTGGACCTTCAGTGCTCCCATGTACCCTCAGATGGACACGTGGCCATATTCGTGTATGCACACACAGACCCACCCGGGTGCAGGTAGTGAATGGCAGATGAACTCCTGTCCAGGGCTGCTCCGGGTGCCCTCCTGAGCCCGTGAAGAGTCTGCCCCCTGAGCCCTTGTGGAAGGGTCACAGTGAATCGGGGTGCAGCCTGGGCTCCTCACCAGCCCTTTGGGGCTAGAGCACAGCCCTCTCAGGAGCCCTGAAGGCTTCTATGCACGAACCCAGAAGTCAAAGGGATGGAAAATGAGCCCGGCCAGCATGGCCCAGTGGTTGAGTGTCGGCCTATGAACCAGGAGATCATGGTTCGATCCCTGGTCAGGGCATGATCCCCAGTAGGGGGTGTGTAGGAGGCAGCCAATCAGTGATTCTGTCATCATTGATGTTTCCATCTCCCTTTCCCTCTCCATTCCTCTCTGAAATCACTAAAAATATATTAAGCCCTGACTGGTTTGGCTCAGTGGATAGAGTGTCGGCCTGTGGACTGAAAGGTCCCAGGTTCGATTCTTGTCAAGGGCATGTACCTGGGTTGCGGGCACATCCCTAGTGGGAGGTGTGCAGGAGGCAGCTGATCAATGTTTCTCTCTCATCGATATTTCTAACTATCTCTCTCCCTTCCTCTCTGTAAAAAATCAATAAAATAGATTAAAAAAAACACACATTAAAGCACACACACACACACACACACACACACACTCACTCACTTAAAGGGATGGAAAATGAGATGGACTGAAAAGTGATGTTGAATGTCACACAGGTGATGCTTTTATAAATTGTATTCCCATCTTAGAGATGAGGAACTGGAAACCCTGAAAAAGGAAGTGACGTTCCCTTGTCCACCTGGACAGTCATGGCCAAGGTGGGGCTGAATACCTGGCCCTCTGACTCCCAGACAGGGCTCTCTCAGCACTGACTCTCTCCTGCCCCTGACGCCCATGCACACCTCTCAGCTGTCCTTGTCCTCTCTCCCAGCTCTCCAGCCTCACCCACATGCACACCTAGAGGCCAGCACTGGGCGCACACAGTGCAGAGATTAGCACAGCGCTGCCCTCAGATGGCCCGCCCTCTCCTCTTCTTTCCCACATCCACACCTGGCACGGACCTCCCTGTCGATGCCACATGCCCTGCTGTTATGCAGGGTCCACAGTGAGATCAGAGGGAGCACCTTCCTTGTTTCCAGCTCTCAGAGGCTGCACGATGCCAAAGCTTCCCAGTCCTGCCCAGTAACTCGGAAACCGATTCTGCCATGCAACATGGGTGCAATAGAAAGAGAACATCTCAGCTCTAGTGTGAGATCAGATAAAGGTGACCCCCCAGTGCTACATGTGATGGTCACATGAAGTTTAGCTTCTTACTTAACCTCTCTGAGCCCAGTGTTCTCACATGTAACTAGACAGGCAGATCCACCTCCCAGAGCGCACCGCAGACCTGGGGTCTCACCTTTGTCCTCCCTGATGCTCTGAGGCCCTATATGGGAGGCCTGGGGCTCTGGTTGGAGCACAAAGGTCTCAGAGCCATGTAGCTTTGGCAGGTGCCTCCAGAACCCCAACCTGACTGTGCTCTCCTCCTAGTGGAGCTCTTCCCCAACGGCCGAGGTGTTGGCCAGAAGGTCTTCAAGTCAGGAGGCTTTCTGAAAACTTTTTATGAAGCACGGCAAGTGTGTGCACAGGCCGGGGGGCAGATGCCCTCCCCACGTTCTGCAGCTGAGAACCACGCCTTGCAACTGCTGCTGGAAGCTGAGAACAAGGGTGCTGCGTTCCTGAGCATGACTGACTTCAAGACAAAGGGCAGGTTCACCTACCCAGGAGGGAAGCCCCTGGTCTATTCCAACTGGGCCCCTGGGGAGCCCAACGATGAAAACGGCAATGAGCACTGTGTGGAGATCTTCACCAATGGCAAGTGGAACGACAAGCCCTGTGGAGCAAAGCGCCTTGTGATCTGCGAGTTCTGAGCCCTCGGGGTGGGTGGGGCAGCCGTGACGCAGGAGCCTGGCCCAGACCCGTGTGCTGCTGACATGACAAGGAAGAGCTGAGGGCTCTGAGGCCTGGCTTCTGCACAGAGACCTGGGATGAGGCCAGCCAAGGGCTCCCATGGAACTCCTCCTCTCTCAGAAAATACGAAACTGGCTTCACTGTCTGCTCTGTCAGAGGAAGAAGGGCCAGCCTGCTTTCCCAATTGCAAGGGATAAAATTAGTCTCCAAAATCCAAAGGCTCCTCCTCAGCCCTCTGCCTCCTCAAACTGTCACCCAGCTGGTTACTCCCTCCCTCCTCTGTCACTCCCTCATCTGTCACTCCTTCCTCTTGCTTTGGTGTCCCCTTATGGCAGTTCCTTATCTTCCTCTTTTGCTAGCCCCTCATCTTCTTCTTGACCACTTACTGGAGACCTGCTCAAGCCTTAGCTCTACATTCTCTCCACTCCTCACTCTCACTCCAGGGATGAGCTCATTCTGTTCAGGGCTCAGATCCCTGGCACCCACATTACATGACTGCTCAGGACCTCCCGGAGCCGGGGACCCCTTGGCCAAGGCCAGCTGGAGCCCCAGGGCTGGGCGGTTCCAGTGGCTGCTCCTTGTTTCAAGGCCTGAGCCCCGGAAGGTGCACAGCGCCGTGGGCTGACCTGGCAGGTCATCTGCCTCCCTGGCAGGACTGTGTGGCCCAGTTGAGTAGCCTCCTCCGCATCCCTGCACACCAGGACCTCATTCTGCCCTGTCATTGTGACTGCCTGTCGGCTCATGGGAGGGAGTCCCACCTGCACAATCCCCATTCCAGCGGAGATCTCAGGCACAGAGGGTCCAGCCACGCTCAGGTTCACCCCCAGCCCTGACCTGGCCTCCGTCCAGGAGGTTCTTCCCCCACACAGCCTCAGAGACAGCTGGCCAGTTTCTTCACCTCCTCCCATAGAGGGGAGTGGGGGGTGGCTTGCTCTAGACCCCAGTGCTACAACTTGGTCACATGAAAGGTCATCTGATCCTAAACCTTATACTTCTGGCCGGTCAACTTTTAGACCAAAGGCCTCTGTATACCAGTTGATTTTAATGACACTTGGGCTTAAGAAATTGGAAGGACACCCGGAAGAAGCACAGGCTCATAGGAGAGGCAACAAGACAGGAAAGCAGCCCTCCTTTGTTCCCAGGGACCAGAGGCCACACCCCTCTTCCCAACACTCAGCAGCCACACCTCAGATGTAGGACAGCAGGTCTGAAAGCAAAAAGCCACATGTAATAACCATGGTGTCAGATGGGGACGAGATTGATCGAGATGATCACTTAGTAGGTTATGTAATGACTAATCACTGGGATGTACACCTGAAATTAATATAACACAGTATGTCACCTATAATTTAAAAATGAAAAATAATTTAAATAAAGTGATTATTGATAGGTTAAAAAAAAGAAAAGGAAAAGGAAAAGAAAAACCACTCCTCCAAACAGCACACAGCTCAGTCTCTCTGCTGAGACCTTTTTCCTGTTACTGAAAAGAAAAAAAAAAAAAAAGCCCCAAGTCCTGGCAGCTTCTGAAATATGTCAGTTATGCAACAGTGAGCAAATAATCTTCAATTCAGGAGTCAAACCTGGACACCATCCACCAGGGAGCTTAGAAAGGTATTTCATTGCAAATACAAAGGAAAAAGCAGTGGAGATGGTTTAAGCCCAGGGAGGCATTTTTTCTAAGAATGAAGAGCTCTGAGGTGGCTCAAGGACTGCGGGTGCACAAGCGACGCTGTGCGGTCTCCCTGCTTCTGCCTCTGTGCATCCTCGTCTCTCTTCCTCCTTCTCCCACCACCTTCTTCTGCTTCAGGCTCTCAGCTGCCCAAGCACAGAGTCATGTGTCACACAGAGATCAGAAACGCTTGCTTGATATCAGGTCAAAATTCCTGTGGAAGTGAATCTGCCTGTCTCAGATGCTCACCTCTGGCCCGATAGACTAGGCCTGGGGGTGGACCCCACAGCACAGTATGGCCATTTGGACCCATGGAAGGTCATGGTGGTCTGGCAGTCCCTCTAAAAGTGACCACTTCCCATCCCAGCACGTGAGGCAACCTATTTCGTTGACAAAAGTGGAGGGAAATGGCAAAACTGACTCAATGTGAAGAAAAGAACTGTCTTGTGGGGTTGAAGACAGGACTGTTGAGATCCCAGGCCCTGGGAGAAGCTTTAGATCCACCTCAGCATGGGGTCCGGTTCGCTCTCCAGTACAGAGAACAAGTAAGGAGGGTCATTTGGGTTCCGTAGATACAACCCCACGAAAGCAAAGGATTAAGGCCAGTATTTCAGAAAATTCAGGTTTTAACCCTTTCTTAGCACAGAGACCTCTCCTACACTCACATTCATGGGCAGAGGTGAACACGGGCATTAAACAGCATTAGCCCGGCCCCACCCATAGTAGCCTTGGTTCCTAGTGTAGTAGCCTGGGTGCCAAGTGAAGCCAGGACTGCGTGACTCTGACCTCTCAAGAGATGCTATGACCCTCACAGTGCCAGGTGATGTCCTGGGAGCAGCCTGGGGTCCTTCCACGTGCAGAGGGTGACAACGACAGCAGCTCCATGGGGACGCCCCTGCTCAGTTCCATAGTATATTCTCAGATCACATCCTGGTTCTCAACCCTCCTGCTACTCAACCAACCCACTTGCCATCATGAACTGACAGTGGGGCGCACTCTGATGTTTGTTGGTGTTAGGATCTTTTATCTTTGTCCTGAATTTCATTGATATAAAACAACGAGAACTGAGTTGCTTAAGTTCGGGGCATTCTCAATCACTCTTATCTTCCGGATATCCTTAATTCAAGCTTAATGGTGTGCTTGACCTTTTCAAGCTACCAGTGTTTATATACTAGAGCCAAGAACCCAGGTATCTACTAGAGGGGACAACATATTTATAAGCTAAATATCTATCCAGGCACCTCATCATACTCTCATAGATGCTATTATCCCTGAACATCCCTGATATGAGGAATAAGCTGAAGAACTGTGTCCCTGCACATAATAGAGGCGCTCAACAGGAAGATTTGAAATGAGTGGATATTTGTAAAACCTTTTAACCAGGAGAATAGAGGAAAGCCATCTCTTTGTGGGATCAAGAAGCTACTCAGAGACCAAGACACTTCTTATTATTGTCACGCTGTGTCTATTAGGCCCCCTTATGGCCAATAGCAGGTGTCTTATCATAGGCTTTACTGTTGTTGCTTTTGTGTGTCTGTGAATATTTCAATACAAGAGACCTTATGAAGGCTGGCCTGTGACCTGTGTCGCTTCTGGGTAGAAGCAGATAAGGGCAGTTGCACTGTCTGAAATGCCCTTTTCTCCGCTGCCATGGTGGGCGCAGCAGCATTGCTGGTTACAACATGTTGTGTAACCCAGCATTCCCGAAACCTGAGCAAATGCAGGGGAAATAGCTGCTCTTGAAGATCACTTGGATTGTTCTACCTGGACCTTGAGTGAGATTTGGAGGTTGTCACTGCAGCATACGTAGCCCATGTTTACTGCATAAATTTTGAATATTAACCTACTTGACTTTCAGTTACCTGAGCAATATAGTCTCTCTCAGGCTGCCTGACTCAAACAACCTTGAGCTACAGAGGGACTCAGAAGGGTGCTCCCTACATGAGCAAAATGGTACTTTTCATATTTGTTTCATAAGAAGACAGTGAAAAAATGAAAGAGTTGAGTGAATGAAATCCTGAATTCCTATTTGTAAGCCTGTTTGTACGGTTGAATAAAGTGTTTTTAAGACATTTCCAGGCCCATTGACCTGAGGAAATAGCACTGTGACCCTACTGCCAGCCTCTCTACACTTTTATTAATTCCCTGAATGCTTCATTTCACATGTAAGTGGCTGGGGTCAGGCCAAGGTCAAAGGTCATATGACAACTTAAGGCCAAGGGAATGCGTTCTGTCATCAGAGGGCTGGATCAGGGCAGGAAGGGGAGGGTACAAGTGCTGCTGAGTTTTGAGCAAGCCCAGGACGCCTGGCCCCAGGCCACAGAGGCCTGAGAGGATAGGAAGAGGATGAGAGGGATGTGAGTTCTCCAAAGACTCAGTTCCAAAACAGAGTGAGGCTGGAGGACCTCATTAGGAGGTCTTATGATAGAATAAACAACCTAGAACAGTCAGAAAAATTACTTAAAGTACAATGAGAATGGAGTTGGTCCTCTTATGTCAAAGGTTTTATAAAACGAACATAATTATGATAGTGTGTTACTAATACAGGAACAGAGGGGCCAAATATAAAGGCCACCAAAACCAGGCCCGAGTATGTCCATACATATATGTCCTATATGCATGATAAGAATAGATTACCATGGTTATGGGAAAATAATGAATGTTTCAATTAATAATTCTCAGTTAAATGGGTAAGCATTCAGAGGAAAAATAAAATCTGATTTTTTACTTACTTATAAAATTCAAAATCTGAATTAAAATATAAAACTTCTCTGCCAAAAAGTAAAGCAATGTAAGATTAAAATTGAAATGCTCATTTATTTGCAAATAAATTTATATAAATTTACATAAATTTATATAAATTTATAAATAAATTTATATAACAGATAAATCAACAAGAAAATGAAGAATATTGAAGCAGGAATGAGAACAGAAATATCTACTAAAAGGAGAGAAAATTCATGAAATAAGATATACTGATGGCCAATAGTAATGAAACATGAAAAATGTACAATCTTAGTAGTAATTAAAGAAACTCAAATTAAACAGCAATAAGCTTCCAAAAATTTATGGACTAAAGTTCAAACTATACTAGAGGAAAATGTACTTTACTTTCATTGTAAAAAATGACAAAATAAAAGCATGGACATTGAGTGTGGTGTTAAGCCATCTCTGAAGCATCTATCCATCCTCCATCTCAGACCGTGGGTGCTTCTGCCTCTGGACTCCTCAGACCCCTTCCACATGGTGCATCCTAAATGCACCCAACCTTTCCTGGTCCCTGCCCTTGGGATGCTTGGGAACCAGACCTCAAGTAAGGGTAGATGCTCACCTAGGAACTGCAGACAGAGCACAAGAAAGGGTCCTCAAAGGAGGTCAAGGTTTTCTCTCCAAAGGATGTACTTGTTGGGTAAAGGGTCACACAGGGAACTCT